CCCCACATATGCAATGTACATTCTGATTGTTCTTTTGTGAGCTAGTTTCCCAGGTTCCTGTGGACCAATGCAATAGGCCCAGGGACTGTTACCCACCTGGCTGAACTGCCCACTCAGGTGTCCTGGTGTGGGAAAAACTGAAGTTCCTATGGCCAGAATCACACCTGAAGCTAAACTACTTGATGATGTACCTGGCCTGCTGCTGGGCCACTGCTTCCACACCCTAGGCAATTAAGCTATTATTGACTGAGTCACTGTATAAAAGCTCTGCCTAGTGCTCTGGGTGGAGGCAGAGATGAAGGAGGATTACAGACCCGCAGACTGTTGTATGCAGGTATAATTCTACTGCTGGACCTATCACCGGGAGAACAAGCCAGGTAATAAACCCTTTCACCCCAGGAACATTCCATTGTCATTCCTCGGTCTCTCTGAACCCATAGTGAGCTTGCCCAGGACTGAAACCCATTGGCAAGACACCTGGGAAAGCACTACAAGAAGAAATCATTCAAATGTGGGGGAAAAATACAATTGTACCATTTTAAATTGTGTGCCATATACAAATAGAACCTTCCCCAACACAACAATTGATCACAATATTATGCTCTCATTTTTGACATAATGCTTCAAATTCTATGCTCTGAAACCCATTCTCATATGCATGAAGTCAGTAGTGGTGAAGAAAGTAAATTAGTTTCTCAGACAGTTTCATTAAGACTTGTTAGGAAGCACAGCTGCCACAGATTGAGCCCAAGATAGCCAACTTGTGTGTTTATTTTTCTACAACAGTCAATAGTGTTTGGTCTGCTTAATGTCACACAGATTGGAAAACCCGAGCCTTCCTTTTCTAAGAGGCATATCTTTTGAGAGCCATTTAACTTTAAAGGAAGAGAAAGTTAAAACTTTTTGTTCAAAATTCAATTTGATGTTGCTGAAACATACTTCTCCTGGTGGCTTTAAAGTGCTTCCACCTGACAGAATTCCTCCCCTGTGATGACTGAGCCACAAATTAGTTTGCTAACAGAACTCACAGGGAATGTGACCAATCATGGCAAGACCAGTTGTTCTATACCTGTGTGGGCCCCGAGATGAGACGGAAACAAATATTTGGGGGAAAATGAGAGGGGTTTTGAACATCGGCCACAAGATCAAAAACACCCCAAATACTAAGAGATTTTTGACCGGCTTTGTTAAACTAAATTTTACTTCAAACCAATGGCTCCAAGTACATTTTTAGAAACAGCCCAGGAGAGACAGCAGAATAAATGATTCTAGTTCTTGGTCCAAAGTGTTGGGCAACTTTGTACTCCCTGTATGCCACCCTCACATTTACTCACATTTGTAGTATCTGCACATGGCCTGGTGCTGAGCACTGTTTTGATTGGTGCATTAGCTTTTCCAATCTTTAAAACATTATGGGACTTTTCTAATTTCCATGCCTTCTTACCTTAGTCCCTCCTGCCTCAATTGACATAAACAATGTACATTATTTGGAATGGAAGAAAGTTCATTAGGGAGTTTTCCTTTGGTTTTGAATATAAAAATATTCCTGAGTCAGCCATTGCATGTTTGTTTATTTGCTGGTTGGTTTGCTTGTTTCTTATTTTCCATTTTGTTAATTTCACTTCTGGTAAACGAATGATAGTAACATCTGAGTTCTAATTTGCTGTCAACTCCCCCATCAGAAATAAAGCAAGACTGAAATTGTTCTCAACAAAGGAAAACTTGTTAATCTCTTAGAATCAAAATCTAAAAAGTATTAAGTGCACACTGGGCAGGTATTAGTTGTTTGGAACTAAAATTATATTTCAGCAAAAATAGTTGTGGGGAAATGAAGTTCCCACAGCCAGGATCCTTACCTGACCCTAAATTCCTTGATGATATACTTGGCCTGCTGCTGGGCTAATGCTTCCACACCTAGGCGATAAGCTATTATTGACTGAGTCACTATATAAAAGCTCTGCTCAGTGCTCTGAGCGGAGGCAGAGATGAAGGTGGATTACCCGCCCACAGACTACTGGATGCAGATGTGATTCTAGAGCTCAGCCTTCCACTGGAAGAACAAAGCCATGTGTAGACCCTTGTATCCCAAGAATATTCATTGTCATTTCTCAGTCTCACTCAATCCACAGTGAACTTGCCCGGGGCTGGAACTCTCAGGCAAGACAGTGAAAGTGTTGCTCATTAATTATCAAATATTTATTTTTGAATCATGATATTGAACCCACAGGAACAAAAACATACAAATGGCTCAGAGAAATCATTTAGTCTCTCTTGGAGAAGAAAAACATCTCTGCCACCAAGGCAAGGAATCTGTTATTCTGTGTAGCTTTCAGAAGGGAGTTCACACGTTTTCTTATTGATTTTACTTCCTATTTAGCAGCAAAATAGTGAGAAGAGGCAGTGAACATTCCTGGCAATGAGCCAAGATGTTAAAAAATATTTGTCAGGACATTTCTGAATTCCATCTTTCTCCCAGAGATTTCAGAGCAGATACGCTCACTGCACCCTACATCAGGCACACTCCTTGGGAGAGAGCTTGTCGACAGCCCATCACTAATAAATAGAACCAGTTCAATTCCACATGTGTGCTCAGAATTCCCTACAAATCCCGCTCCACAGCTGGGGTGGTTCTGGCCAGTGGTTCTGGGGAATCTGCTCCACAGCACAAGGAGGGCACATGTGGAAGCCATACCCCTATTTGCCCTGGTTTTTACGAAGAGAGAGGGCAAGGGGTCATTTCATTTTAGTGAAGGCTAGAGGAGTGGAGAGGAATTCTGAAGGACTGCAGTATGCCTAACTTGATCTGAAACAGTTTTGAATATCCCTGTGTCCTCAGGCAACATCAGGAACACTGAGAAGCTGAGCTACGACAAGCAACACCAGTATGAGATCCTGGTGACCGCCTATGACTGTGGACAGAAGCCTGCTGCTCAGGACACCCTGGTGCAAGTGGATGTGAAGCCAGTTTGCAAGCCTGGGTGGCAAGGTGGGCCTGCTCTTATCAGTCTGATGAGTGAAGCCAGTTTGGCCTGGCATAGAGAAGGTGCTGGACCTGTCCCCAAATCATCAACCTGTAACTAGAGGAATGTTTAAAGTGCTGTCACTTTGCTGCAAGAAATAGAGTAGCTTATTTGTCTCAGTTCCTAGGTTATATATTATGCCCATTTTACTGAGAATGTCACAGGCAGCTTGTCCAACATCATGTACCCAGTTTGTCCTGTGCACCCTTTCTCAAATGTCATGACATCCCTGAACCAGTAATTTTCCCAGTTCTCAGAAGTGCCAGCAAGCCTATTCACTTTGCCTAAGGGTGCCAAGTCCAGCTGGTGTGTCACCTGGGAAGGTTGTCATGTTCCTGGGGCTTGCACTGAGGGCATACAGGCAGAGGTCAGGGATCTAGAGTCCAGCTTTGGATTATGGAGTTTCTCAAATGTTGGCTCTGGGAACTGAGAAACAATGGCCTTAGATGTAGGTGGATTTTTGTGCTAGCTTCAATACTTTGGGATGCAAAGACAGAACAAAGGTGGTGATGATGGAGGTTTATCACTGAGCTATGGGGAAATGAGGAGCACAAGGCCAACTGCATGCATGGGTCTCACAGACAGCTGGATGGTTTGTGGAATAACAGTAGCTCTAGTGGTGAACCAATAGTTCCGATGGCCGAACAGGGATGCTGGAGTGATCTCTGTACCCCCATTTCTGGGGTTCACCTGCTGCTGTCTCTGCTTCATGTGCTGCTGCTGATGTAGGCCACTGCCTACTCCTAGCTTGTGGTGCTTCGTGGAGCCCTCCACTTTGTGGCTCTGTCTACTGCCTTCGCTTCACATGCCTTTAAGTTTCAGGGCCCCTGTTTTATTCTAGCTTGTTCTCTATCTCCCTGTGTCTCTCAGTTTTAAGTTCCCCTAGAGAAGGTGTGATTAGCTGTGTTAGTCATTCACATCCCTATTGCGCAGATTGATGCCAGGCCTCTCGTAGGCCTTTGAATAGCGGTCTTTTAGTCAGACCTTCATTCCTAATCTGGTCCATCAGGGCCAGATTGGGAGGACCTCATGGTGCAAGCAAGAACACCCGAGGGCCCCTCTGTGGTCACTCCCCTCAGAAGGCAGCTCTCAAAGTGTTCCTCTCTTGCACAGCTTTATCACCCTTAATCTTTCAACTAGAAAGATGGGAGGGGGCAATCAAACCCACCTCTGGAGAAAGCCAGAGTCGTTTGCCTTTGAGCGAAGTGGAAAAGAGGAAATGCTCAGGACAGAAGCCACAGGCAAGACATGTAAGATATAAAGAACAAAGGAGAGTCACCCTTGTGTCAGTGTGTTTAGGGTCAAGCAAGAGACAGAGAAGGAGGAACAGGCCCAAGTGGGAAAGTGTGTGGTACTGGCCTCGGGGGCCTGAGCCCTGGTGGGCTATAGCTCAACAGACCCTGAGACCCCGAGGGAAGGATTCTGTCTCTCCTGTGTGTTCACCACTGCATTTCTCAGGCTTAGCATACTTCTGGCCCCAAAGGTAGGTGCTCCAGAAACAGCCATTGAATGAATAAATGATTGGATGGCTGAATACAAACCTGTTTGCTTAAAGAAGAACTCACCTTCTTTTATGTTAATTTAAAAGGACTGACTGACCCCAGCGAAAGTCTAGCTTTTGAAAAGAAAGCCTGAAAAAACTCTAAGTGCTTTCTCAGCACGGAGCATGCTCACAATGGGAGTTTAAGTGAGGAAATAAAAACACAAAGCCACACCTGGAGAATGATGCCAATGCTTTTTGTCTTTGATAAATGACACCTACAGCTTTGGGATTACATTTTTGTGCCCATATTTAAATGTAATTTCATAACAGAGTTTGTACTTATTTCAATGTTAAAGGTATGCAGAGGAAAACATGTTAATAATGTTTAGTTCCGGGTGTGCAGAATGTGGGGGCAGCTGACCTGTGGTGCACAATGCCCTTTGCAGCTGCAGACAGTGAGCTCCTGCCAGCAAGGATCATGTTTGTTTGCTGTGCCTCCACTGCCCAGCACAGGGCCAGGCACCACACAGCTTTCAGAAAGTGTCAAACAGGTGACTGGCTAGAGACAAGTGTACCTTTCTGTGCAACAGGGAAAAGAGGGAGGCAGCAACTCAGTTCACTGTGTGAGGCAATGTGATGCACACGTGTCTAACACCCAAACCATGTGCTGCTGCTTTACTTTAGGGTGGCGTCCCTGCCTGTTAGCCAGCCTTCGGGGCAGAAGCTCACCCTGGTTCTACATGGCACCCCTCCTCCGTCCAGCTTACCCCTGCAGTCAGCCATTAAGTTTCTCTCCCCAGCCATAGTCCCTGCAGGATTTCAGATCACAGACAGGTCCTCTGATATGTGTAGTGTGGTCAAACTGCCCTCCTGCCATTCCTGTCCCAGCCCCCAGACCTGGAGAACAGCCTTCCACCAGCATCCTGGTATACTTTATTCCTCCTCTTGGGCACCCCTCATCTCTGACCCCCCACCCCCACCCTGGGGCCTGTTCTCCCTTCCACTCCTGGCCAGGGCTGCAGCCTCGTAGCTGGAAGCACACCTTTCCCCAGGGAGAAGCATATCACCACTGGTCCCAGATGCATGTCTCTTGTCCAACTCCCTCTCCCAGCTTTGCAGAGCAAACAGGAGTAAAGCGTGTTTTACTGATTTTCTTTGCTAACCACAGATGAGGCAGGCTTCCCCTTCCTGTGAGAGGTTGTGAGGCCCAAGGGGAAAGGGTTGGTTCTTCCTGAAGCACATGTGGGGTGAAGCCTGCACTCTGTAGAAAAAGAGAGGAGCACAGAGAGGGGAGGCCACACAGGGCACCAGTGACTGCTATAAGGAGGCCAAGCTTGCTTAGGGGTTGGGACTAGGGAAGCAAGAGTGGAGAGGTCAGGGGTAGGGTAGGGTAGACAGGCAGCCACCATCTCGAGTGCTAGGGTAAGCAGCTGCACTGCTCCCGAGCCGCGAGTGAGGCTCTGGGGGTGTGGGCCTGGGGTGAGTGCCCAGGGGAGCAGGGGCTCCTCCCCAGGCCAACTCCTCACTAGCCACAAGAGTCACCAGGCAAACGCAGTTAGGCAGTTCAAATTCTTGTACCTGTTCTAAGTCATTTCCCTCCAGGCAGGAGGGAACTGCAGCACACTTAAAGCAATCCATCACACTCAGGAGTCCCTGGAGCCCTCCTATCAGCACTGTCACCAGACGGAGCCTTCCGTCTGCCCAGGGCCAGGAAGGGACCGCTCTCAGATTCCAGTGACGCCTTGGGGCAGTGCCCTGGTTCCCGGCACAATAACCCCTTCCAGGAGGAGAGGACTGCAGCTTTCCCAGCGGGCTGCTGGCCTGACCCACCTGTGCATGAGGACATCCCAGACCCTGGCTCTGCTGCCACCTGCCTTTCAGACTTTGGCCAAGGCATCATCTACTTGGGTTGTGGGTTTCCATTGTCTTTTTGCATGAATTGGTCTTGTCTTCCCAGAAATTACAGGGGCTGCCTGAGGGCAAAGCCACACTTATCTCAGCCCCTGACACTCATTGAGCTTTCTGCCCATCACCTATGCCTAAACTAAAGCTTGCTTACCAGCACCACTCACCAGTGGCAGAAAGGGGCTTGCCCAGGGCTCAGCTGGCAGCAATGGGAGGAAGGCTTTGCATCCAGGAAAAGACCCGGATACCAGGCACACAGTCTTGCTCTTATGCGAGTTTTGTCTTCTTTGCTGTATTCTAAGATTGCATTCTCCAAACAGGTGGCAAGGGTGAGCTCACTGTGCAAGGGTAGGTGGAGCTTTGCCTAAGGGGACTTCACTCCCCTTCTGAGCTTCCCAGGGAAGAGACTGGTCCCCAGAGCACCAGTGAGACCGGGGTGAGTGGAAGGGAGAACTCAATCTCTGTGTTTTGTCCTGAGCTTTGAGAACTCATGGTATCCCTACAGCAGCTCTTATTCGTGGAGACAGAAGATTCTATTAGGAACCAGGAATGGTGCTCCTGCAGCAGGCCACATGCCAAAGACAGGTCTATACCCTGCCTCTCACACCAGGCTCTGGACGTGCAGTCTTCTTGGTTCTGCTTCCCTCTTGTCAAGCATGTATACATACCCAGGCTTGGTCCCGATTGTGCTCTGAGGACTCAGGAGGCATCTGCATCCGTTCATGGATCAGAGCACTGCAGAGGACATAGGGCCCTCGGAAGCTCTCAGGATAATAGTGGCTATTAGAGCAATGGACCCAGTCGGAGATGACCCCACTGACCCTCCTTATAGGGGCCACCAACAATGTCCTGGAGGGTCACTTGTAACTCAATTTCTGCCTGGGGTTCTTTATTTGTTTAGTTTTTATGTCAGCTTATGTTGTGTTGAGAATCACACTCCTTCTTTATGCCTACCTTTATTGTTCTTTTTAATTCCACTGCCCCTTCTCTTTCTATGTTTCAAACTGAAAATATTGTCTTCACAACACTTACTTAGTATACTTTCCCCTATTTAGTGCAAGTCTTATTTTGTATTTACTACCTGTTCCTGCCAGTTAGGGCCCCAACTTCAATATTTCACTGTCCTTTCATGCAAAACAATTCCCCTTTGAAGAGAGCCACTGCAGACTTCCCTGGTGGCCCTTCACCATTCTTTCCCAGACATGTTGCTGACCAGACTTTTGGCCATTCTGGATTGGAACTTTCCATATCAAACCAGCTTTGTAAAGTCCAGCCCCCGGGGAGCCCCATCTCCGTCTGCCCACTGCCTCCCTGAGCGCAGTCCCACGGCACTCAGTCACACCTCGCTCGGCACCATTTCTCCCAGTGCCACCAGCAACTAGAGTTTCTCCACGGGCCAAGTTCCTGCTCCTTTTACCTTCACAGTAAGGTGTCCTATCCAATATGGAGGTACAACTACATAACAAACCACATTTTCTCTGTTCTTTTGGGTTTGAATAATTCTCCAGGTGTGCCAGATCGCATCAGTGTTTCCACCATTCCACAAATCAGCCTTCTATAGGAAGGAAGGCAGGTATC